CCACCCCGTTAGCGCGCTGAAGGCAGATGTAGCGGTACAACGCTGCCTCCATGTCGGGGTAGTGTAAGTGGCGCCCCCCCCCCGTGCATCCGCTTGCGGCAGTTGGCCGCGCCCTTGTAGACGCCCGCTTCCGCCTCCGCACACCAGCGTCTGATGCAGGCGATGGACGCGGTTGACTCCACGCTCGTCTTCTTCAAGGAGCCGAGCTCCTGATAGCGGCGCGCCCACTTAAGCTTCTCACGCACGGTCCAACTGCGGCGCTTCTTCGTAGTGTCTTTGCTGCGAGGGGAAGGTGGGCGGGTGTTGGGATTATGGAGGGTGGGGTCCCTCGGCGTTACCTTCTCAGGGAACGTGGGAATCGGGCCCGCCGCCGCCGCGTACTCATCGTCGCTGCCCAGCGGCTCGTTCACGACGATGTCGTCAGGATTCGGCGCCTTCTTCGCCTTCTTCTTAGCCGCACCCTTGCTGGATCCCGGGTCTCCGTCGGATGTCAGCTTCTTGTTGCTTGTGCGGCGACGAGCAGGGGCTTTAGCAGGGGCCTTAGCAGGGGCTTCCGCGACCTTGACTTTCCCCTTCTCCGCAGCGGTGAGTATCGGGCGACGCTCCTCCCCCGGACCGTCGTCGTCAGAGAGCACCACGCGGGCCCGCTTTGACTTGGACTGTAGGCGATGGCGCAGCCTCCGCTTCAGTAGCGGGACGTCATCGTCGGTCCCAAAGCTCCATGGGTCGTCGTCGCCGCCTTCCTCGCCTTCCGCATCCGCAACTGCGGCCGCATCCGCAGGCGCAAATGTCTCAAGTTCCGCCCCCGCCTCGTCGTCAGCCTCCTCATTCGCATCCACCGCCGCTTCCTGTGCATCCGCCGCTGCCTCCGCGTTGTTACCATGCGCATCTTTACCTCCGTCGTTGTCAGAATCACCAGCATGCCACTCTTCCACCTCGTCGTCGCTCCCGACCGGCCGATTCCACCACTCGTCCTCCTCGATGTCAGCAGGACCTACATCATCGCCTGAAGCGCTGTCGTCGTGGCCGTTCTTCGGCCAATCCTCCTCGGCGTCGTCGCCGTTCGCTTCGTCTCCGTCGTCCTCGTCACAGCTCGCACCGGAGGCGGCGGTAGGACTTGCCGCCTTGCTCGCGTTCTTCGCCATGGCTACACGGATGTCATCGCCGGGCGAGTTAATTCGCCCGTAGTTATTAAACTGCACGTGAGGACGAGGTGAGGACTTGCCTACTGGTACTTTGCTGCGCATGGTTAGAGAGCCTGCCGAGAGCAAGGTTGAGACGAGTATTCAACCTCCTTGAGCACGAAATGAAGTGAGAGCCCGACTACCCCCCCCAGCCAGAGTGCCCCATCCACAGGTGCCGAGCCGCTCCTCTACGAGGCATCTCCTCGTAGAGGACAGCCCTCACGCTGCCAACGTGCTGCCAGCAACGTTCTGGAAGCATCCATGCGCTCCTGGCAGCAAAACGACGCTGGCAGCATCATTAGATGCTGCCAGCACAGAGGAATGTTGCCAGCGGTGGCAGCTCCCTCACGTGGAAAGTGTGGGCGCTGCATGCATCACCACCGAGGTCGGCATGTTTAAATGAAATTGGTCTTTGGGTGGTTTCTACACACTTTGCAAGTGTTACAGTCAACTTATTTTTTTTTCCATTTATAAGACTTGTAAGACACCCTAAACCATCCCGTTTACAAGATAACTCAAGCATTTTTGCCCGTGTACGAGATAAGACATATATGTCTTATATCCGGGCGATGACGGTAGCTCGCACGCACCGCATTACCGTTTGCATGTTTCGCGTATAAATGTTCGCTCATGCATTCGCTCACATTTTTGTACTCGTTTTGACGAACTTGCAAATTTACAAGCGAGAATTGCTAGGCTGATACCGTATTACCCCGGACATACCACCCTAGGGTGCTATGATAACTACACAAAAAAAAGGGGGGGGGTCTTGTCATCGGAAAAAGCTACATTGCACCCGGGTCGTTACATAATGTATATTTTTTTAAGAGCACAAAAGGTTGAGAACAAAATGTACATGTTTGACGCGGTGGTAGATTGTTGGTTGGGTGCGCAAAACCGAGGACTGGGCGATAACGTTAGTCTCGTGGGTTAGCTGCCACAATGCAAGCTCCAACAAGGCCCACAGTCAGGCCCTGATTGGACAGAAAACACACCCCCTCGTCGCTCGACGGGGACTCATGCAGTCACTAAGGCGGAGCGCCCGCAACAGCCTCAGCTGCCTCGCTGAGGCGGTCACGTCCTTATACTGAGAAGGAGTTCATCCTTCTTTCTGTGCAGTGGCTCCATTCCACGAACTCGAGCAATGCTCGGCAGAGTGTGCTAACACCAACTGCCTCCTCGAACCCTTTCCTAGCATAAATTCAGGGATGCCATGGCCTGCGACACCAACGTTCACTAGGCTTAGATGGCTACCTCTCCAGACTCCAGTAGCACAGTGGTTAGGCGGCAGCGGCCTTCCGTCACCCAGTCACCCGCTGCTGCGGGCACACGGCGTTCGCCCCGGCCCGTTCTGCAGAAACCGTCACCCCCCGTGAGTCGCGCCACCAACGATGAACCGAGCAGCAGCGCGACCCCTCCTATGCCGGCGCTGCCGAGGGTGAAGATTCCTTCCTTCCTGGAACAAACACGCCCCCAGGGACCTCCGAAGCGCAACGCGGATGCCGACGCTCCTTCCCCACGTCATCGCATGTCGAAACGTGTTCGTCATGCGTACACCGCCAAGGAGAAGCTCCACTGGCTGAAACTGCAGGAATCGCAGCCGGACCTGTCAAATCGAGCTTTGGCCAAGCTGGCGAAGGTGCAGCCCTGCCAGATCCGCGAGTGGAAGCGGATGAAGGAGCGTCTGGAGGTCGCCTCTGGATGTCGCCGTCGCCTCATGGGAGCTGGGCGCCGCGCGAAGTACCCGTTCATGGAACGAGCCGTGTATCGGCAGTTTCTTAAGCACCGCGCTAAGGGACTCGCCGTATCGGTCAGCATGCTGCAGCAGTGGAGCGCCAATTTCATGAAGCACCGGATGCCTGGCGTGATTTGGCGCGCTTCACAGCGCTGGACTAATCGTTTCCGCGCTCGCTGGCACCTGGCTCGACGGGTGAAAACGAAGATGGGCCAGAAGTTAGCTGCGGGTAAGTTGTCCTTGAATGGATGCATCTATATCTGAGCTTTGCTAGCTCTTAATGTTTTCTCTGTGTTTTGTTGTGCGTGCAGATTGCAAGGCTAAGGTTGAATCCTTCTGGGAGTTCCTGATGCGAATGCGCACCCTTCACGACTACCCGCTCGACCTGATCGTGAACGCGGATCAGACTCCTCTGTTTTTGGAGATGCCGGCCGAGCGTACAATCGAAACGAAGGGAGCGCGGACGGTCCACGTGCGCACTGCCGGCTACGAGAAAGAACGCGTCACTGTCATGCTGGCAGTGACGGCGGGAGGGCTGAAGCTTCCTCCATATGTCATTTTCAAACGCAAAACCATCCCCAAAGTGCCCATCCCAGCTGGTAAGTATCCAGCTATTTCAATGTTCACTCTAGTTGTTGTATCCATTACTCCCTCTAACCACTCGCTCTCTTTGTGTTGTGAACGGCAGGTGTGGTCGTCCGTGCACAAGAGAAGGGGTGGATGGACGAAGGCCTTGTGCAGGACTGGATAACCCAGGTACTTGTGCCGTTTCTGAAGCCCATCCGCGAAAGAGACGGACGCCGCAGGGAGGCGTTGGTCGTCCTGGACTCCTACCGCGGCCATTTGACCGAAGCCGTCGGTCAAACCATGCGAATGTTCCGTCTGACGCGGGCGGTCATCCCGGGGGGGTGCACCCCGCTTCTGCAGCCGCTAGACGTGTCCGTGAATCGCGCGTTCAAGGCCGGTACGCGTCACCGCTATGGCACTTGGTTTGAAGACATCGGGATCAACACGAGGACGCGTGCAGGTGAGATGGTCCCTTGCTTTCCGATCGTGTTGTTGTGCATGCGTGCCTGTGTATTTCATCAAACAACTCGGTGCGTGCCTTGCCCATCCCTCAGGCAATCTGCAAAAGCCTCCCGCGGAGACGGTTCTGAAGTGGATCGACGAGTCCTGGCAGGAGGTCCCAGAGGAGCTGATCAGGAAGTCCTTTGTCACCTGCGGGATTTCCACCAAGCCCGACGGCAGCGAAGACCACCTCGTCCTCGCACACCTGCGGGACAAGGGTGAGGTGGAAGTGCTGGAGGATGTGAACGAGATGGTTGAAGACGAGGTCATCCCCAACCCCTACTTCGAGGAGGCCCGCGTGCCGGAGGAGGTGCTGCAGGCGGACGACGACGCCATGCATGTGGAGCAGGACGAAGAGGATGCGGATGCGGAAGACGGAGATGGGGAAGGGTACGGGGCTGGAGAAGATGGGGATGCAGATGAGTGGAGCGAGGCCGGCTCTGACTGGTGGCTCCCCGACCGCTTTGACAGAGAGGAGGTTGAGGAATGGCATGCTGGGGACGATTCCTAGGAGGAAGGGCTTCTTCTGTATAGGTAGATACCGTAGCATTCTGTCTGGATGGTAGTAGGCCCCATCTGAATGAAGGAAAGACTGTGATGGGAGTGATATCGCTGTATAGCGTCAAACGTAGCTTGTTTGTGCTGATGTTAACATGTACATGGTTAATCATTGGAAACCCAGTGCTATTTAGGCAAAAACTGCATTATTACCCGTACATAACACCCCCCCCCGGTTGCTATATCGGATCGCCCCAAAAGGGGGGGTATAGTAGAAATGAGGCCTGCTATAGCACCCCCCCCGCACAAGCCACCCGGGGGGTGCTCTATTTCGGCGGGTGGTATGTCCGGGGTAATACGGTATGAGGCAGCTCTGATAGGGGGCCGTAGGAACACGCCCTTCGTGCAATTCTCGCTACTTCGATTCATTGCACCCGTAACAGTTCCCCACTGTGTAAAAACACAAATATATGATCACTACAAACAACACACACAGGATCTGGCAAACCCGTGCATCAGTACCATCTGTGCGTCTTGCTGAGAAGGATATAGCCATCCCATCCCCAAGGGTTCTTCCCTGGGCTGAGCCAATAGAAAGTGTACACCATGGCAGCAGAGGCTATTAAAGTGGCCACTGTGGCTAAACACCCAGGCACCCGAGAGATCTTTCTCTGAAGCTTCCTAGCCACGGCGTCTGTCTGACGGATGGTGGCCCGTTCCTCCACCTGTGATTGGTCGAGAGATCTCAGAGCTTGCGCGTGCTGATTGAAGGGGAATGGGGGGGAAGGGGGAGTGGGAGTGGGGAGAGGGGATCAACATCGAGGGCTGGCATGCAATCGTCAGCAAGTATCGTGGGAGGAGTGGGGTAGTGGGTGAAAGAATGGTGCTACAAATAGCGATGGAGAGTGAGACGCTGGATGGAAGGGCAGGAGAGGAAAGGCCATGTGGAGCTACAGCAGCTGGTGGTGGGTTAAGGGCAGAGAGGAAGCGAGGGGAGAAGGAAGCAGCGAGAGAAAGAGAGGGAGCGTGAGGGGACGGGGAGCACCTGGCAGCGGATGGCGTGCAGGAAGGCTCTGAGCAGCGCATAGGGGGCGAGCTGCAGCTTCAGCTCCTCCCACCGCCGCTCCATGCCACCCAGCATGTGCCGCGACGTGTCCACCGCCCCGCTGTGCAGCCGCTCCTGGTGTGTTGAGATGGGTGGATGGTGCGTTGGGATGGGTGGTGATGGATGGGCAGTGATGGGTGGGCAGTGATGGGTGGGCAGTGATGGGTGGGCGGTGGGAGACGATGAGCAGATCAGCACATGGTCGGGAAAGCGGAAGGAAAAGGTGAAATCAATAGGTGTGCCCAATGGGGCGCAAGCATGCATAGTCCACCGACAACAACCATCCAAAACACGCCATGGCATGGCACGGTATGGCATGGCATGACATGGCACAGCGTGGCACGGCAAGACACGGCACGGCACGGCACAGCATGGCATGGCATGGCACGCACCCATTGGGAGTAGCAGGCAGGGTTCTCGATGAGGCACCACACCATGATGGCACCCGCCTCCTCCCTCGCCTCCTCCGACCCTGCATGCATGCATGCAAGCACGGCATGGGGGACCAGCTCACACGTGAGGACAAGCAAGCAACCGTGTCTAATGCGCCTCAAGAGTTGTTCTGAGCCTCCTTTGAGCCTGCTTGCTCGCCGGGCAAGGGAGGAGAAGAGCTGAGCCCTTGGGACATGCATGAGACATGCATGGAGCGGAGAGATCAGAGTAGGATGGAGACACGTGTACGAGCCAAATGTGGTGGCAAGGGAGGAAGCATTAGGTTTCACGCTCCAACCTTGACACCTCGCTCTTCTGGAACCTCCCACCCAATCCAGATGCCTCCCCGTTTCAGCGTTCCAGTCCCAACCTTCCAGTCCCAACCTTCCAGTCCCAACCTTCCAGTCCCAACCTTCCAGTCCCAACCTTCCAGTCCCAACCTTCCAGTCCCAACCTTCCAGTCCCAACCTTCCAGTCCCAACCTTCCAGTCCCAACCTTCCAGTCCCAACCTTCCAGTCCCAACCTTCCAGTCCCAACCTTCCAGTCCCAACCTTCCAGTCCCAACCTTCCAGTCCCAACCTTCCAGTCCCAACCTTCCAGTCCCAACCTTCCAGTCCCAACCTTCCAGTCCCAACCTTCCAGTCCCAACCTTCTCACTCGTGACCCCCATCCCAGTCCAGCAAGGGAATTTTCTGTCCCTTTCCTCCCTTCTTTCATTTCCCCTTTTCGCCCCTTCCCCCTTCCCCTCACCCTCTCGTGCAGCGTCAAACATGAGAGGAAGCAGCTTCTCCGCAGCTTCCTGGCTGGACTTGGCACGGGCAAGGGAGGCCTGTGAGGCGGCGTCAGAGTCGCCAGCGTCCCCCGTGAGGGTGCCCTTCACCAGCGCCAGCTGCTTCACTATCAGGTACGCGTGGGCGAAACGGGGAGTGAACTGGAGGGGGTGGGGGCATGGAAGAGGGATAGTAAGGGCAGGGCTGACCCATGAGTGACCCTCGGAGGAGTTTCCAGAAGGGCGGCTTTCATGAGCGCCATCTGCTTCACTATCGAATGCGCGTGGGCGAAGCGTGGGGTGAGCTGGAGGGGGAAGGGGAGGAGGGGAAGAGAGCGAGGGAGTAGGGTTGGGGATATCTGTGAGTGGGTCTGGGAGGATTCCCCAGAGAGAATGGCTTCACCAGCGCCACCTGCTTCTCTGTCAGGTGCGCGTGGGCGACGCGTGGGGTGAAGTGGATGGAGAGAGGTGGGGCAGAAGGGAGCGGGGTAGAAAGGGTTGAGACACGGTGGCAGTAAGGGGACGGGAAGGGGGATGGCGGTATATAGGTCTAGGCCAGGGCGTGGGGTTGTGGATGTTGCTTGAGTGAGTGGTTTCACATGGAGTGATGCTTGCAGCCCTGAGGGCAGTATGTAGAGAATCAATCGGTGATGCACATTCCTGCGTTTGCGGGCATTATCTGGTGCAGGCGAGCTCATGCATGTATGTCTTTGTGTAGGTGTGTTTGTGTGGTGTGGGAGTATGCGTGCATGCATGTGTGGTGTGTGTGTGTGCAGTGTTGCGTCCGCATGTGCACGTCCGCATGGGCACGTGTGTGTGCGCACGTGCAACCACCCAACCACCCACTGCACACCTGGGTGCAGTCGCCCTTGGCATGGATGGAAGGCAGCTAGGAGGAACGACCGCAGTGCATCAGCAGCAAAAGGCGCAGCCCACCCAATCACAGCATGCATGCATGCGTGCGAGCCTGCACCCACCAACCACCCTCAACACACACACACACCTGGGTGCAGTCGCCCTTGGCATGGATGGAAGGCGGCTAGGAGGAACGACCGCAGCGCTTCAGGGAGCACGAGGCGCAGCCCATCCCTCACAGCCTGTGTGCGTGTGTGCGTGCACCCACCACCCACCGAACTACCCAGCCCCAGCACACCTCAGTGCAGTCGCCCTTGGCAGGGAAGGCGGCGAGCAGGAACGACTGCAGCGCCTCAGGCGGCACGAGGCGCAGCCCGCCCCTCACGGCACCCCTGTGCAGCTCCGCATAGGCCTTCCTGCGATTCTCCAACACCACCCTGCGATGCACACACAGGTCAATAGGATCACAGGAGGGAGCGGTCTGTTGACGAAACGCCTCAATAACAAACCAGGGAGAGGTACGATGCCTGGAGACGAGGAGGACTGGAGTGCCTTGTGAGCCATGAGGCGCAACCACCCCTCACGACCGCATGAGCGGTGCATTGGGAGAGGGTAGGGGAAGTGCGCATAGGAGGAGGGTAGGCATGAGGAACAAAAGGCATGGGAAGGAGGTGCGAGCATGTAAACTCGAATGCTCTCACCGCTGGAGGAACGGGAAGGTGGCAAGCGGGAGTGGTGAAGGCAAGGCAGGGAACTCACTCCTCGAGGAAGGTGAGGGCGAGGTGCGTGCTGGCGGGGGAGGCGGTGGGGTGGATGGCAGGCGGCAGCAGGCAGTGGATGAAGAGCGACATGCCCGCCACCCTGTCCGCCCGTGCTGCCTGCATGGGGGGCGAGACATGAGGGAGACGAGAGACAAGAGAGACAGAGTACAGAACGGAGCGGTTGAGATAGAGTTAGGGGAAGGTAATCGGGTGGAAATGGGTGGAGAGATGGACGCGACACAAACAGGCCATGGGCAAAGAAGGGTGAGGTAAGGACGCTGGGCGCACTGTGCTGGCCAGTGCAGGCTCACGCACAAAGCCCATAGCCTCTCATTATCCCACCTGCCCGTATATCCATGCAAGGATCGCCAGCCTATCCCCCTCTGCCACTTGGGAGCCTGCTGAAGCACCATCCTTGGTGGGCAGCTGCTGGGCACTGGACGGCCTTTGTTTGTCCTTTATGGGCGGCAGCAGCGCGTCAGGCACTTGCTGGAGAGTGGCGGGTCGCACGCGGAGGAGAATGGCGAGCAGCGAGAGAGCCGCGTCCTGCCAGGGAGGTGTTGGGGGTGGTGTGAAAGGGTTGGGTGGTACACAAGGGTTGAAGCGGGGGTTGGAGCGTCTTGACAGAGGGGTCCGGGGGTGGTGTGAACCGGCTGGGATGGCACGACAGGTTATGAAGAGAGTTGACACGGCAGATCAAGAGAAGCTAGGGGGGCAGACAGGTGGTTGCAATGAGCGGGCGTGGATGGTGGATGGGCAAGGGCGAGGAGCACAAGAGTGGGTTCCGTGAGGTGCGAGCAAGCTGACACGTGGCAGATACACGACGGGCTCGCGCTCTTCATCTCCTTTCTGATTTGGAAACGCAACCCCCCAGCTGGTCAGAGCAGGAATTCAATCCATCTCCATGCGCGCATTATCCTGCGTTCCTTCCAAAGAACACATGGGAAAGTTCTGAGAGCTTGCCTTGGAGATGGTCACGTGGTCGCTGGGCGGCCTATCATGCAGTGCCACGTGGATGAGCAAAGCTGCCACTGCTGCCAGGTCTTTGCTGCCCTGCGTCGCCAGCCAATCAGTAGCTGACCTGATCACCCGCTCGGGCAGGTCAAAATAAGGCACCTGGGGGCATGGGCATGGGGCATGGGGCATGGGGTATGAGGCATGGGTTTGGGGCATGGGGTATGGGTATGGGGCATGGGGTATGGGGGAGATGACACACGCGGCATGGGGCATGGGGTATGGGGGAGATGACACACGCGGCATGGGGCATGGGGTATGGGGTACGGGGTATGGGGCTTGGGGCATGGGGTATGGGCATGGGTCATGAGGATTGGGGCTTAGGGCATGGGGTATGGACATGGGGTATGGGCATGGGAGAATGGTGGCACGGGTAAGAAGCATGGGACATGGGGAAGGCACGAGAGTGAAATAAGGATGCAATCCAGGGGCAGTGCAGTCAATGATCGGTCAACTCACGGTCAACCCCTAGCCCACCCCAGTCCCTAGTCGGTCAGCTCCCAGTCAACGCTCAATCAGTCAGCTCCCAGTCAACGCTCAGTCAGTCAGTCAACGCTCAGTCAGTCAGCATCCAGTCAACGCTCAGTCAGTCAGCACCCAGTCAACGCTCAGTCAGTCAGCACCCTGTCAACACTCAGTCAGTCAGCACCCAGTCAACGCTCAGTCAGGGCGTATCCCTGGGTGGTGGCAGGGCCACTGTAGATGGCAGCCTGCCACGAACACATAAAACGCCAGGTTGGTGTCAGGAAATTTGGCGCGCGAATACAGGTGCGTGATTGGGCAATGCCCCAAAAATGTCACTTCAATGCCACCAAATACGAGTCGCGCGCGCCTCGGTAAAAATGTTGGTGGCATGCGGTTTTCCCGCATGCCACCAACTCTGCCATCTACAGTGGCCCTGCCACCACCCAGGGATACGCCCTCAGTCAGCTCGTCTCAGAAGCGTATGGCTCGCGCTTGCTGTCTTCAATTCTCATTGTCCATTCTCAGCTGAACATTGCTATCGTTCGCTCCTCCACGCGCACTCCTTCGTCCTTCACTGCTCACGTTTCACAATTTGTTTTTCAACTTTTGGTTGCTGTTCACTGTCCAAGGGCCCATTCGTTTCTTTCAATTCCATGCAGAACGTCTAGCACTATTTCGCGTGTCGACTTACATCCACAGCCTTGGAGATGCCTCTATCGCGTACAGTCTCCACGATGTCTATTCCTGCCTTCGGGAGCGACGCGGACACGTCAGCGTCGAAACTGCCGACCCATTGATCGAACGGCACAGGTGCGGCCGCTGGGGACGGGGATTCGGTCAAATGAGCCTCCGCACATTGCGTCGAGTGCGGTATTGACGACGCTTGAGGATCGGAGTCCGTGGCGCGAGACATTTGCCGTTGACCGTCAACGGTAACGGGGTTGACGTTCAGTCGTGGAACGCTGCAGTCACTGTAACTGTTTAACACCTCCCGAAGCCTCAAAGGCGGACTGGAATCGACGGACTGCGGGTTCGGAGCGAAGCTGCGGCTTCGAAATCAACCCATACGCTACTCGTCTGTGGTAATCAAGGTAGACTTAGGAGGAGTCCACATGAAAGTTAGGGACGAGCGGGTCACGAAGCCGCTGAAATGATGCTGTCGTGGAGCATGATGCATGAGAACTGTGGTTCGGGAGGGAGGAGAGGCTGGGCTGTTTTTTGTTTGTGAGCTGGGCAGCCTCGTACAAAAGTAAAAGTTTCGACCAGTAATTTCTCGAGAAACACACTGTAACTTCTTGCCTTCGTGGACAAGACTTCCTTTCAGTGTGAGTGGACGCCCGAGGCTACGAAACATGTCGTAGGCTTCCCCAGTTCGAGTGGGCCCAGTGTGACTGGAAGGCTACCGAACAGGGCCGAAGAGGTGGGGTGAAGCTGCCGCGCTGCACGCTGCACAGCGACTCGGCGGGAACTTTTCTGCGATTAGCTGCATCTGGACGTCTACCCCTGCAATGGCTCGAGATTCAGATGAACTGACGCACACTGTAGTTCATTATATTACGATAAAGCGATACAAAGCCCTAAAAAAATAAATAACCACCCCATAGCAGCTACTACCAATAAAGAGAATCTTACACACCCAATGTTCACAATTGGAATGCGGTCCTCCACTGAAACAAGGCACAAATTTCCCATAAACCGTGGCGAATGCGACTCCATCATATCCGTGGCAGCAACCGTGGCGACTCAGTGGAGGGCCGGGTGGCCGCACCCAAGAAGGGTGTCAGCTCATCCACCAGCTGCTCCATATCCTCCCGCACGTCCCGCTGCATCCGCCCCATCCCCCCTCCCATGCCCCCTGCGCCACCCTCCCCCTCCCCGCCCAGCCCCACTGCCCCCGTCAGCGTGTCGCTGACGCCTCGCGCCAGGTCAGCAAGCGGTGTGCCAGCTGTCATGGAGGCAAGCAGGGAGCTGCCTCGCGAGACCACGTCAGCAACAGTCTGAGGAATCTCAGGAACCACCTGCACCACCGATGACACCAAGGGGGCCCCAGGTTGGGGGTGCAGGGCGGCATGAAAAGTGACGCAAAGCGGTGCAGGTGGCAAAGAATGAGGCCCTGAACCATGGGCGGGGGGGCCTGTGGTGGCTGGAGCAGAAGTGATGCAGCGGATATGTGAGACAGCCTGCAAAATTTCTACCTTCAGGGTAACTCAGATTCATGCCACGTGGCATACCTGGCGCAGTGGCCGCACGTGGTCGCCTGGCAGCGTGCGCATGGCGAGGTCAAGGCACGCAGACACAGCGCTGCCCGCTGCCAGCGTGTCCGCCAGGTCAGCGGTCTCGTCGATGGTGTCATCCTTGAATCGCACCAGCAGGTTGCGCCGCACCCCGTAGTACGTCTGGGCCTGGCGGTGGGCGGGGAAGGGAAAGGGGGAGGGGGGGGGAGATAGCAGGTGGCTCTTCGGTGCGTGGGCGCAGTTGCTTTTTCAGTACGTGCACGAGCAGGTTGCGCCGCGCTCTGTAGTATGACTGGGCCTGGTGGTGGGCAGGGAGGAAGGGGGGAGTCAGGTGGGTCAAAAGGGCCTGAATTCAGGTTCCTTAATTTGAGCACAGCAGCAGGTTGTGCTGCATGCCGTGGTATGCATTGGCCTGGTGGTGGGCAGGGACAGTGGGGACGGAATGTTGAAACAACAGGCTAAAACGATAAACAGAAAAGAGAGGTTTTCACTAGCATGCAGTTGAGTACATATAGTGAACTCTAATTCGGGCAGTACTCGCTATAGAGTACCCCACTGCAGGCTACACAAACATCACATTCTGACACACCCCCATAGTCAAAGTGGGGTACAATCAACACAACAAACAGGCAGAGCAGTAGTTCACAATCATAATCAGCGCTAGAGACTATCACAGAGAGCAAGTGAGGAGGAGGAGAAACTGTGGGGGCGAGAAGATGCGAGACGACGGCTGAAGCTGCAGACACACGGGCAACAGAAGTGCGCAGCACTGTCGCTACCAGGCTAAACCCAGACTACACGGCGACAGGCGTTGCTGACTCGCTGTGCTCCCACGAGTGCTCACACTGTGGCTACCGGGCGCAGAGCCCCGGACTACTCAAACCACAGGGGGTCGTGGCTCTCTGGACTATCACGAGTGCTCACACTGTGGCTATCGGGCGCAGAGCCCCGGACTACTCAGGCCACAGGGGGTCGTGGCTCTTTGGACTTCAGGCGCTGCGGACGACAAGTCGGCTACCTACGAGCCGCGCGCGGGCCTGGCGCAGGTCGCGCGGGTCGCTACGGGCGACGGGGGGCGACGCGCGGATCGACGGGGCAGAAAGGCGCGCGGCGGGCAGGGCAGAAAACCGCTGCGCGCTCGGGGCGCGCGGCGGGAAGAAAAAAACGCTGCGCGCTCCGAGCGCATGGCAGGAAGAAAACGGCGCGCGCCCGGGGCGCGCTACAGGCAGTAGAGCAGCGGAAGCATCGGGTGGGGCCCACCCACAGGATCGACCTAGGAGGGTCGACCTGCTTTGATAGCATGTTGAAACAGCAGGCTAAAACGATAAACAGAAAAGAGAGGTTTTCACTAGCATGCAATTGAGTACATATAGCAAACTCTAATTCGAGCTGTACTTGCTATAGAGTACCCCACTGCAGGCTACACAAACATCACATTCTGACACGGAAACCAGCAGGCGACTCTACGGTACCTGCGAACAAGTATCTTTTCCAAAGCGCACCCACCTTGAGGCGTACCCGTTGAATGACTAGGCCAGGTGTGAGAGCGAGGTAGGAGGAGGGTCTTACCTGGTGCGGGTGTGGACTGAACTGACAGCGCCTAGTGTCGCCTAGAAATAAAACTCCCCCCAGCGCCTGGTGCGGTGTGCACTGCCCTGACCAGGCCTGGTGCCACCTAGGATGAATCTCTCACCAGGCGGCGGGTCTCAGCTGGAGCAGGTGTGAACTGATCACGGCCATCAGAGAGGTCGCGGTACAGCGGTGGCAGCTGCTCCAGCAGCGGCAGCAGCTGTGCCACCATTGGTGCGTTGAGATCCCTCAGCTGCTTCACTGCCACGTCAGCCTGGGGCGGCATGGGGAGGGGAGAGAGGAGATAGGGGATGAGGAGACAGGAGACGGGGAGGGGCTGGGAGGATTGTAGGGGAGCAGGTTCACAGTAAATGGACGGCAGATGGGCAGGCTGCAAGGCAGGTGGGAAGACAAGTGTGTTGGAAAACAGTGATGCAAGAGCAGACGATTTGATTGATTTGCATGCACTGAGGGTGGATGGAAAAGGGAGAAGGAGAGAAGGGATGCGAGGCGTGGCACGGACCCCGAGTTTGAGGGTGGGGTTGTTGAGCAGCTGCGTGAGGATGGGGCCGAGACTCTGCGCCATGGGCATGATGACCGGCGAGAACAGTGGTATGGCCGCACTGGCCTCCTGCATTGGTGGGGAGGAAGGGGGGTTATTTCAGGGGGGAGAGAGGGGTGAGAGGATGGGGCCGAGACTCTGCACCATGGGCATGATGACCGGCGAGAACAGCGCGAACAGCCAAAGAACAAGGACCGAATAATGTAATGTGGACCCTCAATATGAATAGAAATGACACAAATACCCCCGTACATCGTTTGACTGGCCGGGACATGGTGATGGGGGAGAGGGGCGAGGGAAGAGGAACGAGGAGGACCATAGAGGTACCTTGTTGTTGAAGGAGAGAAAGACGTTTCCAGCTCTCTCCACGGCGTAGCGAGCACCTTATATGGAGGCCAGACGGGTATGGCAGTAGGGGGGGTCAGGAGGATATGACAAGAGGGGAAGACAGAGAGGAGATAATAGTTAGTGGCAAAGGGAGGACAGAGAGGAGATAATAGTTAGTGGCAAAGGGAGGACAGAGAGGAGATAATAGTTAGTGGCAAAGGGAGGACAGAGAGGAGATAATAGTTAGTGGCAAAGGGAGGAGGAAAACGGAGGTGCGGTGCACAGGGATAAGGGCTTGCAACACAGGGATAAGGGCTTGCAACACAGGGATAAGGGCTTGCAACACAGGGATAAGGGCTTGCAACACAGGGATAAGGGCTTGCAACACAGGGATAAGGGCTTGCAACACAGCTGCGAGTGCTCTCCGGGACAGAAGTGAAACAATCAACAAACAGGTTTTGCGACATGGAGAGGAAAATAGAAATGCGGAGAGACAAAGGCAGGGAGACAGGGAGGGGCAAGGCAGGGTGGGTTGAGGAGACAGGGAGGGGCAAGGCAGGGTGGGTTGAGGAGACAGGGAGGGGCAAGGCAAGGCAGGGTGGGTTGATGGAAAAGCAAAGCGGTGCGTACCAATGAGGAGATGCACGAGGGCGCCCATGGAGTGCCCCACGCCGTACACTGGCAGGTCCATGGGCTGATGGTGGCATGCCATGCATGAATGGGGTGCATGGGTGGGGAGCATGGGAGAACAATCGAGTCACGGGTTGGGACATGGCGCATGGGGTGAGAGTGTGAGCTCTGTGCATGAGTCACTGAATTTATACACAGAGCGTACGTCTGACTGACTGACAGCTTTAAGCAACAGCACATACATCATTGGGTGGCGTGGCTTCAAGCAACAGCACATACATCGTTGGGCGGCTGGGCTTTAAGCGAGAGGGAACGCATGCAGCGGTCGAATCTGAACTGCGCCTCGTCTGCGATCCTCAGATGGTCAAAGCCACTCGCGTACGGCGTTGCCACCACCATCAGACCCCTGGGAACGAGGAAGACGATTAAGGGGGAGGGAGGGAGGGAGGGTGGGAGGGAGGGAGGGAGGGAGGGAGGGAGGGAGGGAGGGAGGGAGGGAGAGAGGGAGGGAGGGAGGTAGGGTGGGAGGGAGGGAGGGAGGGAGGGAGGGAGGGAGGGAGGGAGGGAGGGAGGGAGGGAGGGAGGGAGGGAGGGAGGGAGGGAGGGTGGGAGGGAGGGTGGGAGGGAGGGAGGGAGGGAGGGAGGACGGGTGGGAGGGAGGGTGGGAGGGAGGGTGGGAGGGAGGGAGGGAGGGAGGACGGGTGGGAGGGAGGGAGGGAGGGTGGGAGGGAGGGAGGGAGGGAGGGAGGGAGGGAGGGAGGGAGGGAGGGAGGGAGGGAGGTAGGGAGGGAGGGAGGGAGGGAGGGAGGGAGGGAGGGAGGGGAGGGAGGAGGGAGGGAGGGAGGGAGGGAGGAGGGGTGGGATGGGAGGGAGGGTGGGTGGGAGGGAGGGAGGGAGGGAGGGAGGGAGGGAGGGAGGAGAAAAATATGAGATGTTAATGCTTTCTTGTTTGATAGAAGATTCAAGAATAAGGACAGTAGGCACCTGACATTCCTACGACACGGCAACTAAAACTACAACCTGAAAGGAATGGAAAAATTCTCAGCTGAAGGTACATTTCTCGTGCAAGACGAGCGTGCGTTCGCCATTCTCAAGCCCGCCAGGCTGGTTGTTGCGGCTTTTTTAGCTGCTCAGGAGTCTCATCCGATACCGAATCAGGATTGCAGTGACAGCATTCTCTTCACACCTCTGTGCCAGCGTGGTGAGGAAGAGGCGGTAGGTGAGTTGAGGAGACGCGCCAACAAACGCTCCCCCAATGAAGTGTACCACCGCTGTCGCCTGCAGAGGGGCTGGCGGGCGCAGCACCCACGCTCCCTGTGATGGAAAGAGATGGACGAGTGCGAGTGTGCAGGGAGACAGGCAGGTGGAAGCGAGGAGGTGAATTTTGAGTGCAATAAAAAATCATGAAGGTTCCCCCTATAAAGTGCACCACCGCTGTTGCCTGCAGAGGTGGCGCCCCTCCGCTCTCTGTTATGCGGGAAGACAAAGAGGGAGATAGGGATGAAAAGAAAGAGGTGATCTTCGAGTTCACTCTCAATGAAGGCCCCTTCTTATGAAGTGCACCACTGCTGTCGCCTGCAGATGGCGGGCGCAGCACCATGCTCCCTGTGATGGGCGAGAGAGAGGGATGCGAGTGCGGAAGGGTGAGAGGGATGGCACTGGTGAACGTACAGGGGAGAGTGGAAGCGGAAGCATAAAGGAAATAAGGGCGGAGAGAAAGGCAGTCATGTTTTGCGCAGCACGGCACTTTCCTCTCGTTCTGCAGGCATTGTCTTCCTGCATGGACTCAAACGCCACCTCACTCTCCTCCTGCACTATCGCACGCTCTCACTCCACATCGCTCCTTCCACAACATCATCCTCCCCTCCTTTCCCTCTTCCCTTCCCCCCTCCCCTCTCCCTCTCTTACCTCCACCTCCTCCCACTGCCCTGCCGCGTCAGCGCCCTGGGATTGCCGAGCAGACTCTGAAATCAGACTGAGGGGGGGTGGAGAGGAGGCGGCGGACAGGAGAGAAGAAGGAGAGGGAAGGGGGGAGGAGCACGGGGAAGAGAGGGAACGGACTTGAAATGGGCAGGTCAGGAAGAGCGAGCGAGGGTACATTCAACTGGACTAGATGCGAGCGAGCCACCGAGCGACTGACCGCCATCACTCATACCGTACCTCCAAGCAACTGCAAAACAGCTGGACGCTCCTCATGCGCCCGCATCTTTGCACTTTTGCACCTGGTAACACCGCCCATCGCGCCACCACGACCTGCCGCCATGCTATCCGTGTGGCTATCACATGATAGCACGATAGCACGATAGCACGATAGCCCCGCAGATTTGCTGCCAGCCGCGCTTGCCCAGACGAATAAGAACCTGCTCTACACGCTGTCCATCCACTAGTATCAGCTGCACATTCATACCCCACTAGCCACCAGGAATGAACGACCAGGTACCTCTCAATGCGGCTGTACAGCTGAATGCTCTCGTCCTTCTTCCGCCTCGCGCTCCCATCCGCGTCATTCTCGCCAGATCCCCCGCCGCCAACTGCGGCCACTGGCCGCACCGCCCTGCGAGCCTTCCTACCGACGACATGACAGGCTGGCAGGCTGCTTAGTCTATCGCTGCGGTAGAAGCTGCTACTCCTTGTCGCCACCAAGGATTGCGGCGATACGCGCGGGGCAAGCGCGATTGGCGTCGAAAGGGACGCGACAGATGAATTCGTGGACGTGGGGAAGTGACGTGGCGCGGAGTTCCACGTGGCACAACGCAGCTCGAGAGAAGTCATGGTTCGACTGGATTCTACGGGACAAATGTTGTGATAAGTGCAATATGTCTGGTTTCACAAATGTACAAGCATTTGATGGGTTGCTTGTGGTTCAAGTTACAGCGAACTTTTGGCGTCGCAAACATATCTTCGCTCATTCATTCCGCGGGCGGGGATTTGGGCCTAGGTTATCGCCAATTGACTCTTGCGAAGATCTGTGTTACCTTGTCGTCGTCGTGACGGCTTGCGTTTGTGAGATTAGACACGGTTGTCGTGATTTCGTCGTTCAGCGGCGATTTTGTCACCCAGCACCAATTTCGTCCCCCAACAGAATTCCCTTCTGGGAGCCTGTTGCCGGTTCGCGAGTAACCTTTTGGAACACTGAATACCGTCAACGCAAACTCCCCCATCTCCATGTTACCACAATGCAGGATTGACCAAGAACAGCCAGCAGTTCGAGGTGATAACAACTCGTTAGCGGCGCGGATTGAAATTCCATTACCGTTAGGACCCATCGCACCTCTGTGCCTTTGGCACATTTCCGTCTTTACGCTATGTGGGTTCCAGCATCCATCACTGCCGCCTCTAATTTGCCCAGCCATCGGCGGCACCACGGGGCCTGATTCCGCACAAAATGGAACCCCCCCACATGCCCTCCCCCATCGCACCCGTCGTCCCGCTCGCTGCGCCACCGTCCCCGCCCAGCCCGTCGCTCCCCGTGTCCCCGCTCCTGGTGGTGGCGATGGGGCTGCCAGGCGCGGGCAAGAGCACGCTGTGCGCCGCCCTCGCGCAACTTGCGCGGCAGGTGAGCGATTATCCCGCGCCCCTTCCCTTCACCTCCCAATCTATCCCGCGCTCCATCGCTCTTGAAGGCGTCTCAAGACTCGACCCAAACTCTCAATGTCGCACAACGTTACAATGTGGCACGGCTGAATGCGGATCACCACCGTGTGCGCGCAGGCAGGCGCGCATACGACCCTCGTGTCGTTCGACAGCTATGCGCGTGGCGGAGGCAACGAGGGGAGCGTGGGGCAGGAGGGGAGTGCGGAGGAGCAGGGGAGTGAGGTGGAGGAGGGGAGTGTGGGGGAGGAGGGGAGTGCGGAGGAGCAGGGGAGTGTGGTGGAGGAGGGGAGTGCGGAGGAGCAGGGGAGTGTGGTGGATGAGGGGAGTGTGGTGGAGGAGGGGAGTGTGGTGGAGGAGGGGAGTGTGGGGGAGAAGGGGAGTGTGGTGGAGGGGAGTGTGGTGGAGGAGGGGAGTGTGGGGGAGGAAGGGAATGTGGGCGGTGTTGCAGTTCCTGACACGTGTGCTGCTGCTTTCAGTCATGATGAGTGGAAGGTGAGGATTGCTGACGTGGACAACTGAGGCCCTTATTTAAATACAATCTGCTTGTGGTTCCCACCGTCTCTGCATTTGGTGCCTCAACAGCAGGACTGCCTGCCTTTCCTCTTTGTCATTCATTCCCATCATGCTCCCTCGGTTCATCCCATTGCGTGCACTGTGCTGCTCTGACTGCTGACCCACACATGCCCCACTCCACCCATACACGCCCCCATCCACACATAAATGCCCCCATCCTCACATATTCCACCCACCCATACATGCCCCCATCCACACATTCCACCCATACATACATGCCCCCATCCACACACATTCCACCCATACATACATACATGCCCCCATCCACACACATTCCACCCATGCACGCCCAGGCCAGTCGTGTCACGGCACTCGCAGCACTCACTGCAGCCCTCAAACGTGCCACCCAGGGGGGCCGTGAGGGTGCTGCTGCTGCTTGGGCAAGTGCCGCAGAGACAGCAGCAGAGACAGCAGCAGCAGCCAAGCCAGCAGCAGCGGCGGCGTGGGTGCATGCGCGTGCAGCACCGACACACATGGTGATTGCAGACGACACCATGCATCTGCGCTCCATGCGCCTGCAGCTGCTGCGACTCGCTCACTCATGTGAGCTGATGCAAAGCCCTCGTGCATACATCGCCCCATGCATAGGCCCCATGCATAGGCCCCATGCATAGGCCCCATGCATTGCTCATCCTAGTCAAACACGGGCCTCGGTCCAATTGAGTTCATCATGATCATCCCCCCACCTCTTCCCCCCCTCCCCCCGTGATGATAGAATTGTTTTGGGGGCGTCTCAAAGCAAATGGAGTTTAGCGTGATCAAAGCAAACCCTCCCATCCCCTCCTGCCCGCGCCTGTGCCATCCTCTCTTTCTGCTTCCCGCCCACACAGATGGTGCCACGTGTCTCATCCTCCACGTCACCACGCCCTTAGACCAGTGCATAACCCGCAATGCATGTCGCCCTCCCGCCGCCCGCCTGCCGTCCGCCGTGATCCGCCGCAAGGCCGCCCGCCTTGAGCCTCCCCGGGGGCTCCCTGTGGTGACTGTGCGTAGGGGGGGGTGTGCGGAGGGAGCAGAAGAGGGAAGTGCGAACAAGCGGGGGGCAGAAGGCGGTCATGGGCGAGAGCAGGAGGGCGGGCGAGAGGGAGGCGATGGCACAGCTGCTTCTGCTGCTGCTGATTCTGGGGTGCTGTGTTGGTCGCGGCGGGGCGAGTGGGAGGCGGGGCGGTGTGTGGCGGTGGACTTGGGTGGCGTGGCTGTGGGGGAGGTTTCGGATGTGAGGTGAGGGAGGGGAGGTGAGAGGGTGAGTATGTGAGGGGTGGAGGGGGGTGGCGGATGAGATGATGGAGCGCGAGAGGTAGGAGGGGGTGAGGGAAGGAATGGAAAGGCGTTGTGACTGCAGCTCTTGACCACTACCCAACCTTTCGCTGCCACCTCTTGCCCTCCACTTCTGCGCCTTAACCCATTGATCCCGCCTTTCTCCCCCTCTGATTGAATTGCAAGGACCCATGAAGTCTAATATTGAGGCGCCTTAAAAATATCCCGCCCCATCCCTCTCTCCTGCGTGCAGTGCAAGGGCCCTTGAAGCCCTCTTCTCCGTCTGGTGCCGCTCCCTTCCCACTGCTATCACCCATGCCTCCCACAGCAGCGGCGCCACCAGCACCAGCAGCACAAGCGCTAGCAGCAGCAGCAGCAGCAGCAGCAGCAGTGCAGTGCATGGGTTTGACCTGC